AGGTCGACCGGTTTTGTGATCTGGAAGGGCTTCGTATGGGAACTTAAGTAATACGCTTTCAACTCGTTCATACGCATTCTACTAATTCCATCTTCAATTGCACGAACAACATCTAAATATGTCTTCTTGTGTTTAGTGCAATAGCTAGTGAAGCATTCATAGACTCGCACCTTTGTGTTGAGCGAATATTGGCAAAGAAATGACTGGTTAGATATGCTTGTGCCCATAAGTGTCGTGTATTTCCCTTCTCAATCACCCATGGATGCTTTTGGACGTTGAATTCTGAAACAATCGAACGCCATTGAATATCAAATTCCTTGGTTGTCCACCAGGAAGCCATGCATTTTGAGAATGCTGCTGTAAACTTTGGGTCACCAATGTTAGCTTGTGCATTGCGAGAAAGATGCCAAGAACATAATCTGTGCTTAGCATAAGGGATAACAGATTTGATAGCCCTCTGCATTGCCCTATCCCCATCGGTTACAACGGAAATAGGTGATTTATTCATCATGGCTTCTAAAAAATTCTGTAGCACCCACTCGAAAGATTGAGACGTCTCGTCAGCGATTATGGCAGTGGCAAACACAATTGTGTTATGGTGATGATTGACACCAACAATAGGCATAATTGGTCGACCATACAAATTATCTTTGTACGTTGTGTCGAACGCAATTACATCACCGAAGCATGTGTAATCCGATCTCGATGTAGAATCCACCAAATAAGATTATACAATGCCCCCGATTCGTCTACCGAGTATGTCATAAAAACTCGGGATCATCATGTTTCTTATAATCAAAGTAGGCAATAAGCGCATTCACATCCCCATCGACGATTTCCTTTGCTTTACCTCTTTGAAGTGCATTGTAGAGGTCTTTATGTGTAAATCCAACATTATGATAGCCCCCTGCCTGCTGCGTTAAATAGTTCATTACTTGTGACGTGCCAACACCGACCTCTTTCAATGTTGTTGCCTCATCGATATCAGCCTTACTTACAGCTCTATTAGAACGCATAAATGGTGTCATAGCAGATGTGCACAATGCATGATTATGTTTCTGATCAGACTTACTTATAACCCACTGATCGTTTGTATTTGTTGCTGTAACTACGACTCTAGCCTTACATCCTGTTCTTGTGACTGGCGTATGAGCACGTTGACGATCAACAGTATTAACTTTTGATACTCGAAACCCTTATTTGGAACAACAAAATTCTTGTGTCTTCACATTCCCTTCCACGTCAAGCCGTGTTGTTCCCTTACGTGCACTAAACCCATGTTCCCGTGCGAATCCCTTGTAAAAGTGCCAACTTGATCACGTGAACAGAAGAGCTGACCAACCAATCTGTCAGATTCATCAACATTATGTACTTCATGGCATTCCTCGGTTGGCTTAACATTGTCTACATCAGTATTATCCATGGCAAAAATTTTGTTGTGCAAGTTCAGTGCTCCAGAGTTGATGGAGATGTAAGCAAAGGTTCATTTTGAACATGTTTCAGTCGTGCTGCTTTCAATAGGATGTGGCATTGGTAGTGGTAGTTAAAGGGTGGGTACACCATTAAATTCGCAGTACATATTTAGGTATGTACAATAACTACAAGTATATATTATCATTAAATTTAGGTATGTACAATAACTACATATTTAGGTATGTTTGTTAACTACATATTTAGGTATATACATCTTTTGAGTGAGTTTTAAGATATTAATTTAGTAATTATAGGCGTCTAATGATTTATTTTTTATGTTACGGTATATTATTATTAAATTAAAAACAATAAACATATATATTATATATTTATTATTATCTTTGGTTAATGTTGTTAAATTTAAATTATAAATATTATTTTATAAATATCAAAACAATCAATAATTTTTTGTGTAAATGAAATTATTGAATTAATATTGTAGGTGGAAAACATGAAACACTGTTAAAAATTGAAATATAAATTACATAACTTTTAAAAAAATATCGATCTTTTTTTATAAAAAGTATGGACACTTTCAATATAATAGGTAAACATATGATGTAATAGGTAGCGCTTATATAATGTATATGTATCGTTTATATAATGTAATAGGTAGTGGTTATATTGTAAAGTATCTATCCTTTTTATAAAAGTGTCCATACTTTTTTCACTGTGGAAAACATTAATTTAAGGTTATCTTTTGAGTGAGTTTTAAGATATTAATTTAGTAATTATAGGTGTCTATGATTTATTTTTTACGTTACGATATATATTATTATTAAATTACAAATTCTAAATATTATTTTATAAAATATCAAACAATCAAATAATTTTTTGTGCAAATAAAATTATTAAATCAAATTACTTTATTCCAACCATGTGACAAGTGTGACAACTCCATCAACTCACAACTCAGCTTTGAACTCAATCAATATTGTCTTTTAGCTTGATGGTTCATAAAGCATGTTACTTGAACAGTATGAATCAATTATGCAATTTTCATGTTCAATTTAACACTGCATTTCAAATTCATTTCATATGTAATTGGAGTTTGAATTTAAATTTCAATTTGAGTTTGAATTTCAAATATATTTCGGCTCCACTATAAATATTAGCCCAAGCCAATATGCATGTTATCATTGATTATTCCTAATTTCCATTGTTTTTTTTTCCAACGTTTAAACGCGAGGGAAATCCCGACCATTGTATTTTTTGGTCAACTTTAAATCGTCAGAAACGTTTCGGGCGTATGATCTGGGTGGTAAACAAATAGCAACTAAAATCATAAGTCCGAAATGCTTCTGAGTACCACCCAAATCATAAGTCTGAAATACTTCCGATGCTCATCAAATCCAAAGCTCATATGGTGCCAAGCAAAAGGAAATCAAAATTCAAATCTCATATGATGCCAAGCAAAAGGAAATCAAAATCTACAACTTGAGTTTGAACATTGATATGATATGTTCAGTTGTTATCATGTTGGGATTTTCTCGTTTTGATTGCTTGGATAGTTGTTCTCTTGCTTCTTCAAGTGTCCTTAGCTTGTAATTTATAGCTTGGAATGTGTTTGATGTTGTATATATTATTATTAAATTAAAAACAATAAACATATATATTACATATTTATTATTATCTTTGGTTAATGTTGTTAAATTTAAATTATAAATTAAAAACAATAAACAATATTGTAGTGGTTATATTGTAAAGTGTCTATCATTTTTTATAAAAGTGTCCATACTTTTTTCACCGTGGAAAACATTAATTTAAGGTTATCTTTTGAGTGAGTTTTAAGATATTAATTTAGTAATTATAGGCGTCTAATGATTTATTTTTTACGTTACAATATATATTATTATTAAATTAAAAATTCTAAATAATATTTTATAAAATATCAAAAAATAAAATAATTTTTTGTGCAAATGAAATTATTAAATTAATATTGTAGGTGGAAAACATGAAACACTATTAAAAAAAATTGAAACATAAATTACATAACTTTAAAAGAAGTATCGATCCTTTTTATAAAAAATATGGACACTTTCAATATAATATAATGTAATAGGTAAATTTGCAATACTATCGGTATAAATATACCGGATTACTTATAAAATAGGTAAATATAAGCGCTACCTATTACATTATATAAGCGCTACCTAGTATGTTATTGTACTTTATAATATTTCCGGTTAAATAATATAACATAACCGGTATAAATTTTAACCGGTCAATTATTTAACCGGTCACATCGTATATTAACCGTTTTTTAGGCGCCGCACCGCAGAACCACCCAGGATTTGCATGAATCTTGTTTTGTCACTGTTTAATAACACTAATTTCCTAATGAACTCTTCAATTCTATATTTTTAGATGAATCCCATGGTTTGAACGGTCTAGAATTTAGTCCATAAATGATTATTTGTGCAATTGAGTGCTTGATTGAATTGTGATTTAGACTAAATTTGAAACATGATTAATTCATATCTGTTAATATTAAATGGGACGGTTAATTCTGGAAATTTATGTCAATTACATAAGGTGAGACAACATGAATATTGTTGTCCACTCGATCAATCAGTGAAAAGTTTTAATCTCATTTTTGCATGATGAAACCCCGACTTGTATAAATAAATTCGATTTAGTTTTAAATACTTATGATTCACTTAATAATCTCTCTTATTTACCAAATGTGATATCCTCGATCCATTCGAATCTTGGAGTTAAATTAGAAGTGTTATGCTTCTTGTGAAGCTCATATATACAGTTTTCTAGAAATTGGATGGAGGGATAGTATCTAAATACACAGCTTTTCAAAATGGAAAAAGAAATATTGATGGTTAAATTTAACTCGAAATATAAAGATTAAATTAAATAGAAGGTTAAATTTGAGGGATGTTAGTAAGACTGTAAATGAGATGATATAGATCGGGAGGAGCTACTTGAGATCGACTCGGTCAAAGTTTGATCGACACTCGAATTGAATGAACTCGACTCAAATTCTTAACGAGCTAAAACGAGCTACTTAATACTCGACTCGAAAAACTCACGAGCTATTAAAAAAATGTTATATTATAATTTTAGATTTTTTAAAATTACATTATTAAAAATATAATAAAAATACATTATTGATAATTATAAATTTTAAAAAATATATTTTAAATGTAATATTAGATTTTTGTATGTTCAAATTCGAGCTTGAATCGAGCTCAAAATCTAGCTTCAATCAAGCTCAAAATCTAGCTTCAATCAAGCTCCTGAATTTTTTTTTAGTTCGAACCTTTTTAAGTTCGAGTCGAGTTTTAATATTATATTTTGAGTTTGAGTTAAACTTAATAATTTTTAGCTCGCGAATTTTCGAGTCAGGTCGAGCCTAATTTTAAATTTTTCGAGTTCAAGTAGAGCTCTGCAATACTCAAACTCGACTCTGATTTTCTGCCCTAGCTGTTAGATTTATCATCATGCCATTTTTCAATTTGTCAAAAAAGAAAAAGAATAGATCCACCATTAGTCCATCCAACGAAGAATATGAATCCCACGTTAAGCAAACTCAGCGTAGCTGGATGTTAAGTGCAGCTCAACGCCCCCTCCAACTCCAAGAATTTAAGATTCAGTAGCCCATATATATAGCTATACATATAGACGTCCTGTTTTAGTCTCTTCAGTCTTCGCTTTGTTATTATCGCCGTCGCCTTCTTCACTTCAATCGACCATGCAAGTCCTTCAATCTTCATCTCTTCGAGCTTCCTCTCTAAACCCTCTCCAAAACCCCAAACCCAAATCCCATTTCCCCCATGTATCAAGACTCCCTCCCAGGCCGACCAAGAAATTCTCTCCCATCACCGCTTCATCGCCCACCCTTTCTGCTCCCAAGCGCGAGAAGGACCCCAAGAAACGGGTAGTTATTACGGGCATGGGGTTGGTTTCCGTTTTCGGGAACGATGTGGATGCTTACTATGATAAGCTGCTGGCTGGAGAGAGCGGGATCGGACTCATCGATCGTTTCGATGCTTCCAAGTTCCCCACTCGGTTCGCCGGTCAGATCCGGGGGTTCAGTTCTGAAGGTTACATTGATGGAAAGAACGATAGGAGGCTTGACGATTGTTTGAGGTACTGTATTGTTGCTGGCAAGAAGGCTTTGAAAGATGCTGATCTTGGGGTCGATAACTTGTCTAAAGTTAGTTCCTTTTTCTTCTTCTTTAGTGGTTTTTGGTTACTGAGTTTTTTTTTTTAATCGGCTTGTTTTAAGAGGGTTGTCCTTGATTGCATAGTGATTTGCTTTCCCCCCCCCCCCCCCCTTTACTTTTAGATCCATAGATAATCCTTTTATTGTCTTGCACAACGTGCCACATTTACAAATCTTGATGCTTTTCTCTGCTCGTTACTGCGTGTTTGCTTGCTGCAACTTTTGTCATTATTTTGTTAAGCAACTTGATCGCTTTGTGTGTGTGTATTCTGGTAATTTTCTTCCTTTTCCTTATCAGTTGCTGGCAATCTTTGTTGTTTTATATAGTTTGACTCAATATATCTAATTCATAATGTGATTTAAGTAATGGGCTCATAAGAATTATTTTGTTCAATTTTTATGTTGAGATTGTCTTTTGATGTCTATATTTCATTCAAGCTCATAGCCTTTTTGTCCCTAATTAGAAGCAGCTTTCATATAGAGAATCTGTACATATTGGAAAATCGAGTTATCCTTTACATTTGATTTAGAGCATCTTCATTGAAACAATTTCAACAATGTTAATATGATCATATTTGAAAGCAATTATTGGTAAGACTACTAATGCTGCATCCACCAGAAATATGCCTTGGAAAAGGTATATAGAATGTCAAAATTACTGCTTAAGCTTATGATCCCTTTGGATGATTTGTTACCTTATAGACTGAAAGATGCAAGAGCAATAGATATCTTGAGAGTGGAAACAGGTATCTATTCTTTGAGATATGCGAGTAGCAGAGGATATCATATTCGTTATTCTGCCTCTTTTAATCTTATATATGTCATATATTCTCCCTTGTTGCTCAAGAATGTGTATTTGTCGTAGATCGATACGGAGCGAACTGGAGTGCTTGTTGGAACTGGTATGGGTGGTCTTACAGTGTTCTCTAATGGAGTTCAAAATCTGATAGAGAAAGGTTATAGAAAAATAACACCATTCTTCATTCCTTATTCTATAACAAACATGGCATCTGCCTTGCTTGGAATTGAGCTTGGTTTCATGGGTCCGAATTATTCAATTTCAACTGCTTGTGCTACCTCCAATTACTGCTTTTATGCTGCTGCTAACCACATCTGTCGAGGGGAGGCTGAATTGATGATTGCTGGTGGAACTGAGGCTGCAATTATTCCTATTGGTCTTGGAGGTTTTGTTGCCTGCAGGGCATTGTCTCAAAGAAATGATGATCCTCAAACTGCGTCAAGGCCATGGGACAAAGATCGAGATGGCTTTGTTATGGGTGAAGGTGCTGGAGTATTGGTAAGCATGCATGCATTAACATTACATTTGAATCCTATATGTGCATGATTTATCTTTTTGTTGGTTGTTTTGTTGTCTATTTCTGGTTACCAATTTATCATCTTGGTTTGCCTCAATTGGTGACATGTGATACTGTTATTAAGAGAAGTTGGCATTATCATTGACGGAGCCTGGCTCTCAGGTGTTTGTGTGCTCAATGAGATACTGACCATTTCCTTTATGATAATTTTCTGTTGTAGTGTGTTGTTTGTAGCTGATGAGCCTAATTCACTATTTACGATGACTTTCTTGGTCATTAGTTTGCTGTTCAGTAGTAATGAAGTATAAATTTTAACTGGGGAAATGATTTCCTGTTATTCTTGCATATTTTTCTGTCTTTCATCACATTGAACTACTTAATTAGACATAATCTTGTGGTAATGGCTCGTTGCTTTTGCACACTGATATTTGGTTCAATTGTTACAGAGCTGGCTTTTTAGAGTTATATTCCATCAACTGATCTTGATGAGAGTGGAAATGCAATATCCTTTATAATGAGTTATTTTTCTTATGCTTTCCAGGTAATGGAAAGCTTGGAACATGCAATGAAGCGAGGTGCACCGATTATTGCTGAGTACTTGGGTGGAGCTGTTAATTGTGATGCTCATCATATGACAGATCCAAGAGCTGACGGTTTTGGGGTGTCTTCATGCATTGAGAGAAGTCTTGAAGATGCCGGTGTGTCCCCTGAGGAGGTAATAATAATGTTTCAAATGTAATTATTTTCTGAAAAGTCTGCATTATTTCAAATATTAAAATATGCAAACTAAGCAAGTCCTTTTTTACAGGTTAATTACATCAATGCACACGCAACTTCAACTCTTGCCGGTGACCTAGCCGAGATAAATGCTATTAAAAAGGTATTCAAGAATACATCTGACATCAAAATCAATGCAACAAAGGTAATTTCTTTTCCTCCCCCTCATTTTGCAAAATTTGAGAGGATTGTACTCTAATGTTGATCCCTTGCAATTTGGCTAATTGTTTTTCTTGTTTCAGTCTATGATAGGGCATTGTCTGGGTGCAGCAGGTGGTTTAGAAGCCATTGCCACTGTGAAGGCCATCACGACAGGATGGCTGCATCCCTCGATAAATCAATTTGTACGTTCTCCTTGTTTGTTTAATGCACCTTTTTTATTGTATGTATTTCATTAATGCTTGAAGTGCTAAATTTTTAATGTAGAATCCAGAGCCTTCTGTTGAGTTTGACACCGTTGCCAACGAAAAGCAGCAGCACGAGGTTAATGTTGGTAAGCCCCCTGAATGATCCTTTCAAGACTACATGACAAGTTCCTGTTTAAGTTTCTTCAAGCTTTTAATTTCAGTTTGATTTGGACCAGAACCCCATAATTCTTACCAAGTTCGTTATTGATTCTCAGCAATTTCGAATTCTTTCGGATTTGGTGGACACAACTCTGTGGTGGCGTTTTCGGCCTTCAAACCATGAAAGTCTGCGTCACTTGGTTCTGCATTTGTTAGGAAAGATGGACAGATAATGAGCTGTTTATCCCTTGTCCAAGTTCGAATTCTTTCAACTTTTTTATGATAAATTTCTTACGTTTTGGTGTTGTAATAATAATTTTATCTGAAATTCTAGAATAGAATTCGGAATCCAAAAAAAAAAACCTATTTGCTTGGTATTAGTCTGATTTGGTACACGAGTGTTTCAATAACATACAAGTCGCAAATGAAAAAACAAAAGCTGAAGATGAACGACTTCACTATGGATTGAACCCAGAATCTCTGGTTTCGTAGACCAGCGCCTTATCCATTGGGCCATGGAATCATGCTTTGATGCCTCTTTATGGCCTTCCTACTGAAGGAATAGAAAAGGAAAGAGCCTTACTTTCATAGCCTACGGTGTTTTCATTGAATAATTGAGAAGAAAACAATGGAAAAAGATCCAGATTATGCAGGCAGGAGGAAAATATCAGCCAATTCTTGTCTCAAGATTAGATACCTATTATGGCTGCTGGGTTGAGAATTGTCCCAACTCATGGGAAGGCATTGTTTCAGGGTGAAAATGGCAAATTATGTCTACAAAAGATCGCCTCTAAGGAACTTTAACAGTACATTGGCCTCTAATAAGAACTGCACTCTCCTAGCAGCGTTGTGAATCTCCACTTCATGCTAGTTTCTTTAATATTCAGCATGATCATGATAATACTAGTCAAGGTTCAGATTAATGTGGGATTAATGGGTCTGAGAAATGTTCTAAATTAGCTGATAATATGTCCGAAATCAAACTAAATGATAATTATTAGTATCTTTGGAGTCTTGTGATTTCCAGGGTTACTTTGTGCTTCAATCGTCTACTCCCTCTGTGAATTGCTTGCAAACTAGCTATTGACTTCATTGTTTCATTTCCTTTAATTACTGAGAGTCAGTCTAACTCTCCAATTCATTTGTGGGATCCAGGAGACAATTTAACATATAATAAACATCAATTAATTTTTCAGTGCCAGTAAGTGAAAGCAACTACTGGCACCGGGTAAAGTTCTAAACAATAGTAGTTATCTCCACTTTATTTTTGCTCTTGAAGGAAGTAGTTATTCACAATATACAATTTAAAAATAAAAGTGGCACAATATACAATTTAAACATCATGATGTTTAGAACTTTACCCGGTGCCAGTAGTTGCTTCCTCTTTTTAATCTTTATTATTTTTTAACTGCATCATTATCCTTCAGCTTTCTTTAAGACAAAAAAAATTTTGAATTCCTCAATTAAATAACCTTTATAAAATTTAAATAAGAAACTGACAAATAAATATATAAATTTTATATAAAACTTGACATGAAAAAAATTTACACGAGAGGAAAATTATTATGGTCCAAATTGTACAAGAAAGATATAAATTTAAGCATCATTATCCGCATAAATTTTTATTTTTTAAAATATTTTCTACCAAACAACCTTATTAGAAATTTTTAAAAATAAATTAAATAAAATTAGAATCACAATATTTAACATCAGTTTTAGAATAATTAAAAAAAAAAAAAGACAGTAACACCCGTTAAGTGAATTAACACATCCACTAACATTTATCAAACATAATCACAATACTATTTTTTCCCTTTTTATCCTATAGACCCCAACCCCAAAATCCAAATTTTCATCACAAACAAATAAGTATTCATGACATAAAAATGATGATCATACTCCACTTTTTGAACCATTCACCGAGGACTGGGTGTATTTGCTTTTGCTTTACTATATGCATCAAAGGCATCAAAAAATAGAATATGAAAACATATTGACTCCCAACTCAGATAAAAAACCTTGAAAAGAATCCGAAGTTAGTCGAACAAATTCCTAAGTGCATTACTTTTGGCGCATGGTTCAGGCATCAACACCTTTTGGTTAACCCTTTGAGTCACCACAATCACTGCATTCTCTTGGTGACCAGAGGGTAGGGTTCGCTGTTGAGAAGAAGCCTGTGAGTTGGGTAATTGCTTTTGTATATGCTCCCATTTGTCTTGGAAGAGGTAAAAGAAAGCGATGAAGGAGACTTGTGCTGTGAAAAGTATGGTCCAAATGCCACTGCTTTTCGATGTCTTCTTATGGTAGGCTTCTAAACCGGTGTAGATGTTAATGATCCCCACCATGGATGTTGCTGTCCCAAGAATCCAATGTGTTAAGTACCACGTACTTCTTCTCTTACTTCCTCTGCATGAAAAGGGAAAGAAAATTTGAACCAAAAAAGTAAATGTTTTATTTATTCATTTTTTTTGAACAGTATGAGGTGCTGATTACATATTTGTTTAGAATTTCTTTTAGAAATTGATAATACACACAGCAGACGTAATTGCTCAAACTCGAATCTTATAGGGATAACATCATCCTTTAACGCTTAGGTTAGTGAAGGAAAATTGAATTGATGGTTACCTAGGGGGCCTGAAAAACCCAACCAAAGCTTGCATCAATATGGCACCATAAAGGGCAAGGCCTAATCTTTGGTGGTTGTTATTGAATGAGTTCTCGAAGTTCTTTATGGACACTACAGCCCCCACTGTTGCAAGAAGCACTGCAAGTGTCTGCAAAATATGCAGACAATTGGCAAAACAAAACATTAACATATGAGAATGTAATTATATGGGAGGAAATGAAGTACATAATCTCCCATTTCTAATAGTATAAAAAAATACCCATTAATAATATATAATTAAAGTACACACTGTGAGCAAATTCACAAATATTAACTCATAACATTTGCACAAGGAATAAGATAGAGATTATTACCTGCAATATGGCATGGAGATAGAATAAAACTTTAACCCTTGTTCCACCTTCCTCTAATTTATTGGCCATTCTAATGGTAAGTATACCGAGTGGCATTAAGAACCCCATGGAAACCCATAGGATAAGGCCATGAACAGCGATATAAGATGTCATTTGTTCACTCATCTGCAATATTTGTAAGAAAATAATATTAAAATTTTGAACCCTCGTTCTTAAATTTCTGGATCCGCCATTATCACAGTAGTAACAATCCCAGTAGTAACAACAGACAAATAAACATTGCATGCATGTTCAGTTTTCATGTTGAATTACCTTGTGCCCATTTTCGTTAGTGCTGGTGTGATTGCTGATAACCTCTCCATGAGATGAGCAAGAAACAAGTGGTGCAAGAAAAAGATATGATGTTGCAGTAATGGTGGAAAACCTTAGCAAATGATCAGAAACTTGCATTTTTTACTTGTTTATGGAGGAGATAAAGAAAGACTCATTTAGAAGGAAGTGCTTGAACCTTTTTTTGTGGATGAAGAGAGGTAATGAGATATGATTACTGAAATACAAACCTAAGATTCAGTAATGGTTTGAAGAGTTTAAAAGCATGGACAATTAATGGTGCTTGTAGGAGGAGAAGGTTATTAAAATACTATAAATAAGATACAAAAGGTGAGTGAGGGTTATCAGTACCCAATAAGAAATTGAGTATTGTGGGGTTCACATTTATCTATTTGCATGCACTCTTAGGTTGCATTTGATACACAAAGATGGGTCAAGATTTTAATGGATGGAGAGTCTAGAAGGGCGGTTTGTGTGGATTATACAAAGTTGATAATTAAGCTAAAATAATATTTTAGATTCCTCAACCAATGTGTGGTTTAAGTGTAGGATGTGTGTACGTTGCCATTAGATTGAGAATACTTATGAATAAATAATATATTATAAACATCTTAGACTAATTAAAAATATATATCTTAAATGAATTTATTGAGTGGTCTTAGTAGTTAAAGAAAATGTTGTTCTCGCTTGAGGTCATGTGTTAGAGGCTTAGAGCAGTTGCGTTTGTCATATGTATATATTATCAATAAATAAATAAAACTATGAACAAATGTCATCTTATAATACTCAGACTATTAAATAATATATATAGGGTTATAATCCAGTTACACAATATAAATTTTTTTTAGTTGTACACAGATTTAACATCATAAGATGAATGAAAATAGATGGTTGAAATTAAAAGTAGGAAATGCGAAGATATTTACTGGGGAAAAAATAATCAATATCAATCATCTATTTTCACTCATCCAACAGTCCAAAATGTGTAAAACCAAAGAGTTTTACATTAGATAAGTAAATCATAATTATATATATATATATATATATATAGCATTCAATAATGCATACGTCATTAAATCTTTTGAAAAGATAATAATTGTTCTTTGGACATTAAGAGAGCTGAATTACTGCAATGTTGAAATTGATTTTTAAAAAAGGTGTTTATAAATTCATTTGGGATATTCAAATTCTTTCCCTTTTCTCTATACTTTTTCTTTATCAGTCTCTTTACCTTTTCCTTTTTCAACCTATCATCTCTATTTTTTTTTAAATATAACCCATCATCTCTTAGTAAATATGCTTTGCATGTGTTTGATAGTCTTTTCTGAATTGATGACAGGAAAGGTAGAGAACATCGTTTTCACTTTGGTAATATTTTTCCCACTCAAGACAAAGATAACGCAAAACACAGGATATACCAAATTTATAGGGTAAATTACACGTTTAGTACCTAAAATATCAATTTTAGTTTATTTTACAACTTAAATTTATTTTTGTAAAATCATATCTAAAGTTTAGTTTTTATTTCATTTTAGTACCTCGTTGTTAAAACTTTAGTTTTTGTTTTATTTTGGTACTCTGTAAAACTTTAACGACAAGTTTTGAAAAAATAGAAAGTTTATATACTAAAACGGACTAAAATGTATAGTTTATGTACTAAATATGTTAAGTTTTTAACGTCGGGTACTAAAATGAAATGAAAACTAAACATTAGATATGATTTTGAAAAATTGAACATCTAGATTTTAAAATAGACAAAAACTGATAGTTTAGGTACCAAATGCATAGTTTACCCAAATTTTTAAGTCAGACTCCAACTTAATTTGGGATCGATCAGGACTGATAAAAGGGAAGAAAGTTTAATCTAACCATATCGCACGAGCGAAAAAGGGCAAGATGCCCCCTAGAAACTTTCTACTTGAGACTGAGCCTTGACCCGTAGGTTGTAGCACATAAAACCATCGGAGTTTTTTCGGTAATTCTGGCATAACTTTGGGCACTCCACAATGCACTAAAGTG